AATCTTGAGAAAAATGAAACATTTGGGAGAGGGACATCGTTCTTTTAAAGTTACTTATTTTTTTTCATAAAAAAATTAAGGTGTAATAAAAAATTTGGTAAAGAATTAAAAGTCAAAGCAACAGATTCATATCTACTTAACTGAGCTGCTATTAATTTATGTTAATAGAAATTAAGTAACTGTCTAAATTGAAGGCACTGAATCAACTTAATCACATTAGGAACTGCAGTCAGCTGACTATGTGGGGTCAGAAACAAACTACTACAGTGATGGAAACAACAAAGCCATATTCAGAACAGCGTCCTGAAGGCTGGTGCAGGGCACTGAACCACAAGCCACCCTCAGTCTTTTCTGGCTAGCATTATACTCATGTATGCTCTGTTTCCCAAACTGACCCGAGCCAGGCAGGAGAGACTCATGTAATTGAGCTACTTACTTTAATGAGGGAACTTAACGATTTAAGCATTGCTTATACCAAGTACAAATCTGCACAGAAAAAGATAAAATTACTAGATCTTTGATTTTTTTGCTCTTTGGCAAATGATTTAGACTAACCCTGATTTTCCTTAGCTATAATATATGAATAATAAAAAGTATCACATAAGGTAACTATCATTACATTTTAAAAAAATCTTGGTGTGTGATGTGGTGTGTGTGTGTGTGTGTGTGTGTGTGTGTGTGTGTTGTGCTTATACACACTGTGCAACATCATACATGTGGAATACACAGGACAATCTCAGGCTGCCTTGTCTTCCATCTTTTTTGAGGTCATGCTAGGTAGACCACAAGTCTTATGATAGTCTGTCTCTGTCTCTCATGTCACTAGAAGAGCTCTAATATCCTACCCAGCTTTATGTGGATTTGAACTAAGGTCCTAATGCTTGTATGGCAAGTGCTTTGAATACTGAATTATCTCCAGCCTATATATATATATATATCTATATATATATAGATATAGATATATATCTATATCTATATCTATATCTATCTATCTATCTATCTATCTATCTATCTATATATATATATATATATAGTGTGTGAGAACAGTTAGCAGTCTGCTCTTCACATAGTAGATATTCAATAATAATTATCTCTCAGTCTGTTCCCTTATCTATGATTCTACCATTCTCTCTTAGAGGTGCCAAGGATCTGGGTACCTCAGTTGAGCATCTCATTTCTATAGTTGTCACTATACATCTCCAAGTGCTCGTCCTCAGGAACTGATTTTTTCATATCCCCATACATATATTTTCCCCTTAGACTAAGTCAGTTAAGATTTTTGTGTAGATTATGAATACTTCTGTGTATTAATTACATGTACTTTAAAATTATAATATTAATTTTAATTTATTGAAATAGATTTGACTTAATTTTTTTGAGACACAGTTTTTAATCTTTCTGATCTTTGTCAAATGATTTAGACTAACTAGACCTGACTTACCTTAGCTTTAATCCACGAATAATCAAAGGCACCACATAAGGTAACTATAATTAGCTTATATGTGCAGCTTTGGCTGTTCTGGTACTCACAATATAGACCTGGCTGGGTTCAAACTCTGCCTGCCTCTGCCATCTAAATGCTGGGATTAAAAGTCACTACCCCCAGTAACTTAAAAATTTTTAAGAAACAAAAATCAAGCTACAAAATTTTAAGCTAATAAAAGATAAGAGTAGAGAGGGAAATAGAAAAAGGAAAAACAAGTCGGGCGTTGATGGCACACGCCTTTAATCCCAAGCACTCGGGAGGCAGAGCTAGGCGGATCTCTGTGAGTTCAAGGCCAGGCCTGGTCTACAGAGTGAGGTCCAGGACAGGCACCAAAACTACACAGAGAAACTTTGTCTCAAAAAATCAAAAAGGATAAAAAAAGAAATATAAAATAAATATGTTACATGTAAGAAGTTATGAAAAAATAGAAAATTTAAATAAGCTTAAAAACAGTGTAACATGTTAAATGCCTATTTGATAATCATAATAATGAATGGGAAGCTATTAAATCAACCCATCATGAACTTACTTAGTTTTGACTGAAATCACTCCAAATTTACCTCAATAAGGAGAATTATGGGAATTATTTAATTCCTATGAGATAAAGAAGAATCTTTTTTTTTTTTTTTTTTTTAAGATAGGATTTCATGCAACAGTTCAGGCTGACTTTGAACACATTATTTAGCCCAAGCGTTGGAGTTACAAGACTGAGCCAAAATGACTGGCAGGATCAACATTAATATTACAAATAGAATTAATATTACAGATAGAATATCACAAATAAAAAGAAAATTTAACGTGAAAAGGACAAACGTTGTTACTTAGTGATGTATTTTCTCAACAAAATCATCTTTCTACTTCAGCATTATTCTAGTACCAGTAATGAGGTGGAGAGACACTTTTGCCACTACCTTGTATGGATACAGAAGGATGGCATGAAAATAGGACTGTTCCCTTCCTGTGAATGGATTCTCAGCAGCAGTTTACTCAAGTCACCTAGACTGGCAGAGCTTGGTACTTCCTCCTTTTTCAGCAGCCAGACCAGTTTGACGGAAAGAGAATTTTGTTCAGTGGAAGTGTACAGCATTACGTGACCTGGCACAAAGTATGCACACTAACAGATACTCACTTTCCTTTTCTTGTATGAGGGGGAAGGAAATACATAACTCAGAAGAATGCTGAAGAATCGCAGATGAAACATTACACAGTTCTTTGCCTACAGTCTCCTTTTTCAATGTGAAATAGAGCCCCATAGGAATTCCTGTCAGGGATGAAGATTTTCTGTCTCAGACACACTGACTCAGAATCTATATGTTTAACAAATTTCCCAGATGATTCTGGAATACATTAAAGTTCAGGAAGAACTAACATATCCAATAACCATCGGGAAATGACAATAATTTTTCAAGGGATTTCCCTTTTATTTTCAATGTATTAATTAAAATTTCATTACATTTCACTTATTATTTTAATTTATTGTATGTATATGTTGAAGAGGCCAGAGGACACCTTGCAGGGGTCTGTTTTCTCCTTCCACCTTGTGGATTCAGAGGATCAAACTCATAGGTCATAGGGCTTTGCAGCAGGTGCACTTGTACTCAGCAATTGCTCTAGCCCACATTTATGTTTTATATGATTACCTTTTGCCTGTGACCTCCCTAGCCAAGCTTTTGTCCAGTTCTACAGTTTCAGGTATGTGTTCCTTCTAATTCTCTAATCCAATCAGGAAGTGGTTGATTACCACTCTCTATGCCACTATTGAACCAGTGGACATATCTTTCCATGTAGTTCTGTATTTAAGTACACAGGATCTCCAGCTGAGTGTGATCCCTAACGACTTGTTACCTTCAACAGCCTGCATAGCACATCGTAGCACTATGAACGCTAGCTAGCAGAAAAGAAAGCAACAGCTCATTTTTGACTTAAGAGTGCATACCAATTTCTCTTTAAATGACTCTGTTCCATAACAGGCTGTTATGAAGGATGGAAATTGTTTCAATTATATATCGATGCCATAAACAAATAGAAGCCTGTCATATAACTCTAAGTGAATGTTAAATAATTTCTGAATGCTAAATATAAGAATTCAGCTGTTGTATGCTTATTTAAAGATGATTAATTGGAAGTTTCAGTACAGTAATTATTCAGCAACTAATTATTGTGGCTATTGCATTTCAGGAAGTAGGACAGACACTATAGACTGAAAACGGTTAAAAAAAAGCAACACTGCCCTACTTTTAGAATGAGGAAGATCCATACCATCTCACAGAAATTATACTACTGAATCATCACTCTTGTTAGTTGTTAGAGGTACAAGATGAAACAATAACAAAAACATAGATGTATTTAGGATAAGAAATACTCATTAGGACTTTTTCACATTGACATATTTTCCCACTGGTCTGCTAGATCACTGCATTTTATCACAACATAATATACTTTTTTGTGGTTTTTTTCTAAGTTGGAAAAACTGCTGGCCATTGCTTCCAGTTTAAATGACCCTTTCCATGGACAGGACATTTGAGTGGTGGTGGTGGGATGGAGAATGCTGCCTTGGCACTTGCCCATCTACTGGTACAAATTGTCTTGTCACAGTGGTTTAGAAACGTTCACTTTAAGACAAATGAATCACAGAACAGTTGAATTCCATGTTTGTGAGATAAGGGAAGCTAAAATTCCTTCTTGGATACTGACATTCTGAGCTCATGGAACTCACTGGGTAGCCCAGGTAACATCAATGAGGCCACTAAAACTTTAATATGGAAAATAGGTTTCATCAAGCCAAATTGTTCAGTGATGGTTTTTACGTACCGAAGGAACAGTATTTTGAGAAAGAAAGACTCCCATATAAAGCCCTTGAATTCTCTATGTAACCAAGGCTGGACTGGACTCACAGTGATCCTCCTGCCTCAGTTTCCCCAGTGAAGGGTTACTTCACCTTGGGATTTACTTTATAATCTTATCTATACTGGGCTTCTCCTTAGAGCGTATGAATCTATTAATGACCTCTCTATGTATGTATACAGGGAGAGGTCACATACATCCACCTGAGTAATATATATTTCTGATCATGTTTGAGTCCCCATCAGGGAGAACTGGGGGGCTATTTCCTGAATTAAATAATTTGTTAACAGCAAACTTCTTTGGCGACCCCTCTCTTCACTACTCACCGGTTCCTAAAGTAGTACTGAGTTTTTAGAAACGACGACCGAGCCTGAAGCTTGGCTAAAGTAGCCATGGCCTCCAAGCCTGGGGTTTACCGAAGTTGTTACTATGGGTCTCCATGGCAACTGGGCTGAACCAAGGGCCCTTCCGACTCACTCCCTTTTCCTTTCGCTCTATTTCATTTTCAAGTATCTGGCCGGAGAAGTCGGATTTTTCTATGTCAGAACCGACTGCAGCCGGCTCGCTCCGTTCTCCGCCGGCACTACTAGAGGCGCTGACAGGAACGGCCCGCCCAGAGCAGGGGAGCGAATGGTCGCTTCCGGCTTCCGGTTTCCGCCTCCAGCCCGCTTCCGGAAGTTCCTCTCAAAATGCTGAAGCGCTGTGTGCAAGTGGCCGGGGCTGCAGGAGTTGGAGTCGGTCCTCGGGCCTGAGCCTCGAGGCCGCGCTCCCGGGTGTCGTTGATGTTCGGGGCCGCCGGGCGCCCAGCGATCGGAGCCGCCGCCGCCGCCGCCGCCGCCGGGAAGAGCTGGTGAGACCGGCGGGGCCGCTGAGGACGGGGCGGGCGCGCAGGCGGGCAGCCCCGCGGGGCTCCTGGAGCAGGGACCACCGTGCCCTGGGTTCCTTCAGGCCTGGTTCCCGTCGCCCCTGCCAAACCGGTCCCCCTGTACCCAATTCCACGAAGGATGGAACTGCAGAACCCCGCAGTTCTGGAAGTTTCTTAGTGGGAGAGAGACATCAGGCTCTCATACTCGCCGCGCAGCTCGGTTTGTGTAAAAACTACAAGTTTTCCACCACCCAGGAGGTTCTGTCCCAGTTCAGGAGAGATGGGTGTTGTCCAGCAGCAGCCTTAAGGTTGGGTTGGAATTTGTCTTCAGTGATCATGACCCATGGCTCTAAGTTTTCAAACGGCTTTTGCAAGTCACAGTTTATCCTTATGGCATCCCTGTGAGAGGAGACGATCGCAGGCACAGAAAACTGAAGAGGCAGAGTTTCCCTGTGCCGGTGAGGGCTGGGTCTTGGATTTTCTGGTTGAAAGCCCTGGTCGTCGTCGCCTCCCTCCACCCCCTCCCCAAACACACACAAACACACCATTTCTTCCAAGGCTTTCCCCTGCGGATACACACAGTGAAACCAGAAAGTTAGTTATCCAGTCGACACTCCTGAAACATAAAAGTCAAAGAAATGTGATTTTAAAGTCCGTGCCTATTTCCAGAGTCGGAAAGAACACGAGAAAGTCTAATGGGCTGTGATTTCAGGTTCTTTTGCCTCACCCACAACTGAAAAGTTGAAGGAGCGTTTTACGCCAGATGCTTTATTTAGATCTCCTCGCTCTGTAGATCATTTTTTAACGACTGTCGATTTTCTTGTGACTTTTAAGTTCTCACAACTTTCAGTTAGTAAAATGGAGAATGGTTTTTAAATGAGCCATTTTTTAATTGATGTAATCAGCGTGGAATAAGAGACACAGTTCTTCATGTATTGGTTTTTATTAGTTTTGGCAGTTGTACATGGTGGAGGAACCACCGCACTAAATATGTTAAAGGGACTTCCCAGTAACCTGGTATTTCCTCTCAAGTGTACTCTTCACCATTCGGTATCTTGGTAAGGAATAGAGGGGGAATGTGTTCAGTAGATTGGTCTGGTCTTACTAGAGGAATTTGTATGGAAGTTGACAAACTAAAACACCTATGTCCCTTTTTACTCATTGCTCTACTTTCCGTTTTCTGTCACGCACAGATACCCCTGTTCATTACTCATCTATTACTTGAAACAGGATTTACTTGCTGGACTCTTTTTACTAGACAGAAAACTCATCATTTTTAATGAGATGAGGGTGTCTTTAGCACCTTCCAGTTCCTGTTTTTGAAAGAAATTCTTAAAATATGTCTTGATTGGCAGAAGAGATGTGTTCCGCAGAAGTGGAACCTTTGTTTCCTAGTGCATATAGACAACAACTGTGCAACCATTCAGCCTTCCCTCCATCCTTTCCTCCTTTATCACAGTGCTCCCCTTTGTCGTCGTCCCCCCCCCCCCTGCTCCCTGTTTGAGCTTTGTTCTATAGCCCAGGCTGACTTCTCTCTGGTGATCTGCCTGCCTCAGCCTCTCCAAGTACCGGCATTATAGGCCTGTGCTGCCTTGCCCAAGCTTTGATATTTCTTAACGCAATTTTTTGTTTTATTCATTGAACTGCCTTGCATGATTGTTTTATCAAAATTGTGAATTGCCCATGCTATTGGTGATTGCTACCACTAAGTAGTTCATTGGTGTTGGATCTATCTGTATATGTCATCTCGTGTAAATCCATAAGATCTCATGTAAGTGCACTACATTTTTTACATTTTAGATGACAACAGAGGCAAAGATAATTTAAATAACTTCTCTAAGTGATTTATTTGCAGTATAATTCTAGTGTACTTGAAGAAAATTCCTCACTACCCTAATCTACTAATCATATCTGACTAATGTATCTATAGGCATTTATGAATTAGAAAAATACATGTCCAGATTTGTAAACCAACCTGCAATTTCTGACATAGTCTATTTTTATTTAAATACCCTTTTGTGTGTGTGTGTGTGTGTGTGTGTGTGTGTGTGTGTGTGTGTGTGTGTATGTGGCTTTAACAATAGTAAAAAGCCATTAAAATGGATTCTGGATCTTTGCTTCTGGAATTTCATTCTTATTTGGTATGTTGATTTTCATTACATCTGGAAAACTATATCATAAAAACTTCGTGTTTTGAGTAGCTGATTTTTTTCAGAGGGGGGGTTCTTGATTTCCTAAACTGTTAAGTTTGTTTGATTCAACTTTGATAATTTGCCTTCATTTTTACACTTAAACTATTACAATGCTGTCTTATTCATGTAGAAGGAAAGTTAAAGTCTGTATTGTCTGAAGATTTTAGTAAAGTAACATCCGCTGACTCAGCCCTTGATTTGTACACCCTACACACTCTTGTCATTTGGTATATGTCAAGAAGTATGGTAGGTCCTCATTTAATTCTTAGCTCTTTTCATGTTCCTAATCTAGGAATTCAAGATATATATTTAGTAAGTATTTACTGTGCAATTATCATGTATAAGCAATAATCAAGACATTTCTTTTTTTTTTTTTTTTTTGGTTTTTCGAGACAGGGTTTCTCTGTGTAGCTTTGCGCCTTTCCTGGAACTCACTTGGTAGCCCAGGCTGGCCTCGAACTCACAGAGATCCGCCTGGCTCTGCCTCCCGAGTGCTGGGATTAAAGGCGTGCGCCACTACCCTAACAAAGCTTGCTGACAGAATGAATTACTTTTTAAATTCAAAATTTTTGTCTTGTTTGACTTAGACTCTGACTGCATTTCATTTAGGCATTTTTAAATGAATGATTTACATTTTGAAAGCAGTTAGAGGCAATGAGAAAAGTTTGGATGAGTTGAAGTCAGTCATTAAATGAAGTAACAGGAAATCAAAAAATGATCTTTAAGTTAAATAAATGAGCTCACGTTATTAAATCAGCTGAAAAGTAGAATTAGACTTTAGTTTTTCTTTTTCTTTAAACACTTAAAGGTCAACCAGTTAAGTTCTTAAAACCTTTTTCTAGAATAATGAGGAAAGAAAGTTGCCTCAGATGTCCCCGTGGCAAAGTGACAAAGCTGCAGCTTCCAGCAGACCCCACAACTGGATACCATCAGTGGGGCTTTGGCATCCTTGGGGGACGGATGTTCTTTTAATGAGAACCCTGGGATTCTTACCTGGGAAAGGAAGATCCTTTGCTCTACTCCTCTTGTGACTCACGTCTGTATATTAAAGCAGGAGTCAGACGCACTGCAGACAGGGTCTCAACTCTGCTGCCCAGGATAGCTTCCACATTGAGAGAATTCTGCCTCTGCCTCCTTAAGTGCTAAGGTTACAGGCAAGAGTCTACCATACCAAGCCATAAGACAGTATTTCTTTTTGTTTTAAGGATCAGGCTTTTCATTTATGTTCCTCTGTGTATGCCAAGGAGGTCATGAGAGGTTATAGGAGCCACATTCCTACTGTTCTGGCTTGAGATAAAGACTCATTTTAATAAATAACAGTATGATTAAGGAAGGAAAATTTTGAGTTCCAATGAGCAGTAGAAATTTTCACATTTAAGATAATTCTTATGCATGGTATTTTTGTTTGATTAGTCATAAAATGTAACCTTTACCTTTGGTGTAGCATCTTTTACCACTTATATGTTTATTTACCCATTACCATAATCTATACTATTATGTATTCATTTTCATCTAAGCCTTTTGGCTATTTGCTGTACATTTGTAAGGCCAAATAACCTTTCCTAAACAACTTTTTTTTTTAATCTTAAATAAAATGCAGTAGCTAACATGATGTGTAAGTAATATAATTCCATCACTATTTTCTTGTTTGTGAGTAGTCATATACCACACATTCATAAGCATAGTTCTTGACTTACTATGTACACACATTTATATTTATGTAGACCTATGGGTTATGACCCCTCGGAGGGTTTAATGACCCTTTTACAGGGGCCGCATATCAGATATCTAATTTATGATTCTTTTTTTTTGTTTGTTTCTTTGTTTGAGACAGGGTTTCTTTATGTAGCTTTGACCTTTCCTGGAACTCACTCTGTAGCTCAGGCTGGCCTCGAACTCATAGAGATCTGCATGCTGATGATTCTTAACAATAGCAAAATTACAGTTATGAAGTAGCAATGAAAATAATTTTATGGTTGGGGATCACCACAAAATGAGGAACTGTATTATAGGAGATTTAAGAGTTGTCCAGTTGATACCCTATTACTTGGAAGATGTTAGTGAAACAATGATATTAATTGCCTAATATTGTTGGCTCATCCACAGGGATTTTGCTTGGAAATGAGTTGTGGAAAAGCCAGAGCAAATTAGGGGTGAAAGGTAATTAACTCTGAATTGAAATAATATTAAATATTTTTTCTGTGTTTCTGCAGTTTTGAAAGAATCCTCTAATTTTCAGTCCATTTGTGTTTGAATGATGTCATAGAATTCACTGGATTCTTCAAGTTAGAATATTTTATTTTCTTAAGAGAAACAATAGAAAGTTGAGTAGTGGTAGCTTAATTTTAAAGAGATTCTAAGAAAATTTGCTTTCATTCTTAATCATATTGGTTATATTTTGTTAAACCTTATTAGTTATAGAAATTCTTTTCAATAAAAGTTGATAAGGAGCTGTAGAGCTAGATCTTCTGGAAAAACAATTAAGAGCACTGGCTACTCTTCCAGAAGACCCATGTTCAATTCCTAGGCACCCACATGGCAGCTCACAACCATTTATAACTCCTGTGTGTTAATAACGCCAGTCCCAGGGGAATCATCCAGCACCTCCTTCTGGAAGTGCATACACATATACATAGGCAAAATACTATACATAAAATAAAAATAAATGAGACAATTTTTAAAAATCAGTTGATGAGTGTCAATTGCAGTGGATTAAATGGTGCATTTCCCTGCTCAAACATTAAGAACATGGACTAATCCAGGCATGGTGGTTCCAGCTGGTGATGGCAGACCTCAGGCTGAGTGAGGAAGGATATCAGTTCAGGCTTTCAGGACCTGCACAGGAAACAAAGAAGCAGGCGTCATGACCACTGCCTTTTCTCATCTGAGGTAATGTGCCAAACTGCCTTTAAAATAAACTGAGATTTTACTTGGAGAGTTATTTAGTTATTAATATTTTTATGTCTTAACATGAAATTCTGAACTATCTGTTCACTCAATGATAAGAACATTCTTGTATTCAAAAAGCACTTATTCCTGAACCAATAATAGAACTTTTTAGAGAAAGGACCCCAAATTTAATGCCTATAAAATTGTCTTTAAGTGGGTTTTGTTTAAATATGCAATATTATATTCAGAGATAATAGGCTTTTCAGATTACATTTCTTCCAGAGAACTAGTGTTAACAGAAAGGAGCAGGTCATTCTTTGCAGTAAGAGAAAACAAATAGGCAGTTATTAACACACAAGTAATAGATAAAAGATCCATCTGACTTATGAAAATAACCAGAGTTATAGACCCTTGTTGGCTTGATAACTAATTCAGATGTGATGCATAGGTCACTTAATACCTTAGTCTGAAATGAGAGTTACATGTTGAAGCCTTTTGAAGGAAGAAAGAAATGTCAGCTGCTTTCTAGAGTTTCTTTAAAGTATGTGTTTGGATCACCGTGTGTCTGAAAACTGTTCTGAATCGACTTTGTTTATACATTCAGATTGGGAAAGGAGCGAGGTGTGGAACACACACTCCCAGGACAGCTGGAAGGCAACAGTATGGTTTTCAGTGGCTCACATTTTATTCTGCCAGCCCTCTGGGTTGTTTGCTGAACTCATTGCATCCTCAACAGTCATGCTTCCCTGGCTGTTGTGTTGATTTAGGTTTTCTAGGCCTCTTTTCTATTGAAAACAGTATAATTAGTAACTGACCTCGAGCTCTTGGCTTTGGTACTGGTGTTCATTAAGCTAGCTTAACTGTTAAAGCAGTGAAACAGAACTGTAGAATATATGGTGCAGGTGGGCAGCTGTACTTGATAAGCACTGGTGGGTGCCCTGGAATCAGATGTTAGGGCTTAAAATGCATGTCTGTCACTTAGATTGGTCAAAGTGGTGGATCTATTGCTGTTTCTATTTTGTTTGTCACCTCAAGGTTGTTGTGTGAGAATGAAATGAGGTAATATAGTTAGTAAATATTAGCAGATAGTAAATACTCAACTGTTACGTGAGATATGTAACCCTGTAAACAATAAAACCCATTAAATCACCACGTATGTCTTTAGGTTTTAAAATGAAAATGAAAAGTTACAAACTTATAGGGAACTTTCTAAGGCTTAAATTTTGTAGATGGTAGAGATTATATGTAACTGGAGATTATATAGACCAAGAGTTGGAAAGCTGGTTGGATACCACTTGATTGTATTAAAAATGAAAGCAAACCACCTTACGGGACTGGTTCATTTATGGCTGCTTTTATATTATGTGAGAAGCTCAGTGATAAGAGACTGCATGGCTTACACAGCCTAAACTATTTGTAATCTAGCCCTCTGCCAAAAGTGTCTTTACTCCTCTTATAAACTCCCCAGCTCTGTAGGCCTCCAGAGGACTTTTGGGAATATTTTGATGCCTGTTGAACTTAGTTTGAGAAGTGATAGGCCATGATTTTTATAAGAAAGGTAAACATCTGAAATACCTGTAACATTTAAAAAGTGTCACACCAGCAAATTTAACATCACTGGGAACTGAATTTGGAAAGAACTATGTACTTTATTAAAGCTCCAAAACACCACGGTTGCTTATGCTTGCTGACCAGAAAGATAGGAGACTGCTTCAGAGTCTGTTAAGGGCAGCCCTTATGGACCACCGAGGGGCCAGTTTGGAACGGAATACAGTTTCTCTATCACCTGTTTGTGAGTGCTTAGTGGCTTAGAGATATGCCCACTGTTTGGTTAAACTTCCTTTTTACATCTGATACACATTTTGGAAATCCCTGTCCATCTACATCTGATATTATGACAGTGATGAGGCAAAGTGTGTGGGAAGTAGAAGGTTCTATTCCTCCTTTCCTTAGGAGCTAACTTAGGGAGGGAAGGGACTAAGACAGTTTGAAAGTAGTTGGGGTTAGAAAAGGGGCAAGTGAGGAACAGTGATTTATTAGAAGAATGTTTCCCATGCTTACATAATAATCATTGAAAAATCCTGGGATCGTGTGTGTGTGTGTGTGTGTGTGTGTGTGTGTGTGTGTGTGTGTGTGTGTGTGTTCACCCATGTGGTTGCATGTGGACGCCAGACAGATATTGACATCTGAAGGTACTCCTCAATCATTTCTCCACCTTGTTCTTTTTGAGACAGAGTCTGTCATTCACCCTGGAGCTTGCTATTTTCTAACTGGCTGGCCAGCGAGCCCACAGAATCTGCCTGTCTCTGCCGGGGTGCTGGGGTTACAGGTGCGCAACACCATGTCCAGCTTTAAGTGGGTGCTGGGGACCTAAATGTAGATCTTCATGCTTATGCAGCAAGAACTTAACGTACTGAGCACCCGCCCCCTCTGCCCCAACCAGTTGATACTGTATTTAACTTGTCTTGAAGTGATTTCATTGTTAGGAACTTATCTTTAAGACAGGCCCTGCCGTGTATCCCAGACTGACCTCAGACTTAAGCTTAATTCTTCTGTCTCAGTTTCCTGAGGGCTAGGATTATAGATAGGTGTGTGCCTTCTCACCCAGCCATTCCTATGTCTAATTAAAACAAGACTTATGCAAGAAGTGTGTTAAGGGATCAGACTGAACATGTGAGACTTTGAATAGTGCAATCATATGCCTTTCTTTTAAAGGATATTAATTATAGCTGTGTTTAGAGTGAAATGCTTGTGTGGAGAACTAGGCTAGCACCGAGTGACTTTATTTCTCATTCTCTAAAACATACAGGCATTTCAGCCGAACAATGGAAGAGCTTGTTCACGATCTTGTCTCTGCACTGGAAGAGAGCTCTGAGCAAGCCCGAGGTGGGTTTGCTGAAACAGGAGATCATTCTCGAAATCTGTCTTGCCCTCTGAAACGCCAGGCCAGGAAAAGGAGAGGGAGGAAGCGTAGGTCCTATAATGTTCACCACCCTTGGGAAACAGGTCACTGCTTAAGTGAAGGCTCTGATTCTAGTTTAGAAGAACCAAGTAAGGACTACAGAGAGAACCACAACAATAAGAAAGATCATAGTGACTCTGATGACCAAATGTTAGTGGCAAAGCGCAGGCCATCTTCCAACTTAAATAACGGTGTTCGAGGTAAAAGACTTCTGTGGCATGAGTCTGATTTTGCTGTGGACAACCTTGGGAACAGAACTCTCCGCCGTAGGAGGAAAGTGAAGCGCATGGCAGTGGATCTCCCGCAGGACATCTCTAGCAAAAGGACAATGACCCAGCTGCCTGAAGGCTGTAGAGATCAGGACATGGACAACGATAGAGCTTACCAATATCCAGAGTTTACCCGGAATAAAGTTAAAAAAAGGAAGTTGAAAGTGATTAGACAAGGACCAAAAACCCAAGAGGAAGGAGGAGGTTTGGAAAGTGAAGAAATAAGCCAGACCAATAAAGACAAAATGGAGTATGAAGAACAAAAAGTCTCAGATGAGCTCATGAGCGAAAGGTAACTTTACTATTCTCTGCCAATAACGTATTTGTCTGCATGCTTGGGGATGAATGTATTTTGTATTTTAATTCTGTTTTAAGATAATTATAAATTACCATAATCATAGTGCTATTACTTTGTAACTAGGTTTGTATTTCTTTATAATTTATAGCATTTTCACACAAAGCAAAATTGCTTATTTGATTTATGCAAAGTGTTAGTTGTGTTATAACTGTCTTGATTTTCAGCTACAAAGAGAAAAAGAAATAGCTTTCTATGGGAAAGAATATGCTTTTGAATCACTGCACTTTAGGATATCTCATTTTCATGTAATTATGAAACTTCAGCCTTTGGAACATTTTAGGGTGCGTATTCATTATTTTGATTCCTGATGTTCAAAGTTCATACCCTGTGATGTGTGAGGCTTGGTGTATTGATCTATAACTTGCTGGGGAATTCTGATCACTTATAAAGACCTGATTTATGGTGTGGAAGCAGCTGATTTTGGTCCTTAGAAAAATGGGAATTGTAACCTTCGTATGTTGGCCGGCTATCTGTCCATCTCAGGAAGTAGACCACGTCTATTCTAATTGCCACATGCTCATTGTATGTCGGAGCAGTGAAGTGAGCCTCTTCCATTTATCCAGCTGCTTGTAAGAGTAGCCAGCGCTGCTCATCGTCTTCAGCACACCCCCTTCAATTTCTGAGAGTCAGAAAAAATGGTCATGGGGAAAACATGATTTTTCATTTGTAGCATTGACTTCATTTTAATCTTGGTGATTGTAGGCTTTGGATATTTGGATATATGTGGGTGTGTTTGTAAGTGTGACTGCAGTTATGATGAGAACCCAGTTGGAGTTAACAGAATGAGTTTTTATTAGACAGTTTACTGTTTATATAGTTTTTTCCTCAAAAAGTAAAGCATAAGTAAAGAAGTGTTCGAAGAAGGTTTTGAAAAGTTTGTTTCTTTCAAGAAAGTTATGAGGGCTGGAGAGATGGCTCAGAGGTTAAGAGCACTGACTGCTCTTCCAGAGGTCCTGAGTTCAATTCCCAGCACCCACATGGTGGATCACAACCATCTGTAATGAGATCTGGCACCCTCTTCTGTATACATAATAAATAAATCTTAAAAAAAAAAAAAAAGTTATGATTTTTGTTCAGGAATAGGGTTGGTTGTATTCTGGCATTGAATCATTGTGACTGAGGAACACTCAGCCAAAAGCAGTTAGCTCTGTTGCCCATTGCTGAGGGAGTGTGGCAGTGCAGTAAAGGCTGAGTTCCTGGCTAGTCACAGATCACCTGCTTTTTCTGTGGAAGCCCCTCCTTTTTGTTTTCCTGTCTTCTTTCTGTTCTTCTGCGTCGTACACTGTCCACCCTGGAACCATGAGGCAGAATGTGCTCTCATTTATTTCTTTTCATTGTTCCACAAACATCAGGGTCAAGTAGGGATGTCAGATTTTCTAGTTCTTCACATCTTAGGTATATAGTTTAAATATGATATTTTAAATCAAATACAGTTAACTATTTCCTCTGATTTAAACCTTTCTTTATACCAGTTTTCTGCTGCCACTTAAGGGCTCGGTGCAATTTCTTCTGTGGGAAGGATTGCTACAGAGTAAAGGCATCTTCTCTTTTCAAAGCTTTCCATTTTAAGGTTTATATTTCTTGGATTTGATTTATAAGTAAAAACCTCTCTCCATTTGATGACTACAGTGTGCATCCATAGCTCAAAGACTATTCACACAGACTCCCTCCCTCCCATGCCCTAGACTGGATTAGGCAGACAAGCAGATATGAGAATAGAGTGTGCTGTGTAAGAGGCACTTGTGAGTGAAGACTTCTCAAAGGAGCTGTGTTTCCAAGCAAGAACTAAGACTTGTTCCAAAAAGGGAGGGATGGAGGGAGAGTCGGCAAGGAAATGGCGTGCCTGGAAGAAAGCTGTGTGATGGCAGACTGTCAGATCCGGGAGGGTCAAGGGCAGCACCTTCACCTAGGAAAGAAAGGGATCTGGGGCTCCAGAGCAGCACTTGTTGAAGGCCTGTGTGTTGTGGTGCTTTAGATTTCATCATGGAGGCAGTGAAGCAACTTAGGACAGCATGATCTTGGCTGTAGTGTTCTGTCTGCTTTTGACTGACCTCAGTCCATACAGTGGAGGGGAAAGTATATCTGTGCTGGTAGAGGCAGAGAAACCCTTGGAGCTTCTTTAAGAGGAGAAATAATGGCACATTGTATTGGGAAGGGTGGTGCTCTCAGATGATGCTGGATTTCTAGTCATAGAAAAAAAACAAAAAATGAACCAAATGGAAAGGGGGATTAGTATTAATGTATATACATTAACTTGTGGAATATAGTCTCATCTGAGTAATAGTTATAACAATTATTTCCAAAAAGGAGAGATACTGTATCCTTGCAGATGAATTGTCTTGGCTGCTAGCTGCTGGAAATGAAAAGCCTTTCTTGTTAAATTTTTGTTCTTACTTAATGAGCATAGCAACAGGGAAGTACATGTAGCAACTGGTTAGTTATCAATAAGACACAATAGACTTATTTTCTGTGTTCATCATTAAGAAATACCTCAGTACAAAGCAAGGATCCTTAAAAACTGGTATTACAGAACCTAGATTTCCACGTTTTGAAATCTGTCAGGGTGTGGACAGAGATAGGCATGCTTCTTGGAGGAAGAACAAGCAAGAGTGCCAGACCAGCCGGGCAGTGGTGGCGCACGCCTTTAATCCCAGCACTCTGGAGGCAGAGCCAGGTGAGTTCGAGTCCAGCCTGGGCTACCAAGTGAGTTCCAGGAAAGGCGCAAAGCTACACAGAGAAACCCTGTCTCGGGAAAAAAAAAAAAAATGCCAGACCAAAGAATGGAAAGATTTGATCAGGAAACCCGCCCATTTAAAGCTGTGAGATCAGTTCACTTAGAAAGCTGTCATCTTAGGCGGCATATGTATGTATGAAAATGGTTTATGACCTTTTAAAAGAGTCCTTTTAAGTTTACAGAAACATTCCAAGACAGTTTATAGAGTTCATGCCTTTCCCATTCTCATGCTCCAAGCCAATTTCCTTTTACTGTTAATGTTTTATACTGCTCTGGTACCTCCACCACAGTTAATGAATATGGATGTATTTTTAAGTCAATATTTTATTAAAATTGCTGTTGGTTTTCTTTAAAATGGCTTTATTCTATTCCAGGGTATCATGCTTAAACAGTAGTCAACCAGTTATTTTGTGAAAAGGTAAACCTGGCTGTATGTAGAATAGATTAAAGGATGGTAAATCTGAACCCAGAAGACTATGGCAGCCGAAACTTAGTGAACTGACTCACTGTTTGCAGGCTGTAAAATACTTGCTCACTGTGGTCACACTTCACCTGACTTGTATTTAGTAAGCATATTCATTAGGTGATTGAGAGATATTGCTGATCTGATTATGGAGTGCTATACTAGACTTCTGGAGGCATTATAGAGTATGCCTTTGTGGAATCTGAGGCATTCTGAATTGTAAGTACATTTTATCTTGGGGTTTCCGAAAAGGAATTGTGCCTGGGGTGTGTTGAAAGGCTTTGGGTTATAAGGAAAACAGGAAAAGCAGTAATAGTTTGGACCAATACTACATAGCAAGACAGTCAAGCTTCTGAGGTGTTTTTTGTTTTTATGTAGGACCACCTGTGCTTGTAACTAGGATGGTATGGATTCAGTACCTTAGAAATATTATTGCCTATTGATTATATAGGAAACGTCATACAGTCAATTTGAAGAAAGTTGAGGGAACTATCCTAATTAGAGCTTTGAGAAAAAACATGTGCCTCTTGATAAATTCTTAGACCTTTCATGACTTTGTTTTTGAAAAGCAAATAAAAACATGCAAAGAATATGTGGATTTAGATCTTAACAATGATTTTCATCACAAATATTTTATAATTTTTTAAAAACAGGCTAATTTACCTGATTTTTAATAAGCTAGGATATGTTGTTTTATATATAATGGATAGAATATTTTTTATTTCAGGCTGGAGGTGAAGGCATTTGCACCAAGCCTGATGCTCTGTGTTTGATTTTCAGAACTCACATAGTAGAGGAAGAGAACGGACTCCCATAAGTTGTCCTCTGACCTCCATGAGTGTGTGTGTGGTTATGAAAGGCATTTCATCCCAGGCCCTGTGTTTTTGTGCTGAAGACAGTCTCAGTCTGCTTCTGATGGAGACTTCCCTGTCTTAGTGAGCACTGGGATTTCAGGCGCACACTGATCACACAACACAGCATCAGAAAGGAGCAGTGAGCATTTGATGAAAGCTGCCTTGTGTCAGCACCTCCTTACAGTCCCATCTGGCTCACTGTCCAGGTCCCATTAGATTCCTAGGGTTTTTCGTGCCAAAAATAATATGTTGTGTAGTTAATGGAACCGGGATATTTGCAGTTTGATTAAAAAAAAAGAAAGTCTTATTTTCTTTCAGATCTTTGTCAGGCTCAAGTTCCATCTCTGAGCTGCCATGTCTCTTTAAAATTTTACAACTGATAGATGAATTGTTCTTTTGATGTGTTTCATTTTTCTTCTCCTGGTTACAGTGACTCCAGCAGCCTCAGCAGCACCGATGCCGGGTTGTTCACCAATGACGAGGGAAGACAAGGTACTAAGCACTGTTTTCCGTTCTCAAGAAATCCATTTTAAAGCATATTGCTGGTTATTTTATGAGCTGCCAACAGTAGCCCCTTGATATTACAGGTACTACTTAGTGGCTGGTGTTTAGTATTGTAGCTAGTTTCTGTGCTCTGCGAAAGGTGTCTTGGCTTTCTAACCCAATAATAGATGTCTAAAAAGTAGCATGTGGCACTCAGCTTTGCATACCTCAGTGTTTGCAATTTGGTCCTTATTAGCAAGATTGCTAAACATTGCTTCTTATTCTCCACCTTATTCTAGATGTTTATGAAACTGTAAGCATTCCTAAAAGTGGATTTGCAATGATTTGTCATTTTTATTCAGTTGTCACACTTATACTAGCCCACCTATAAGTAATTAAATGGCTTTTATTAATTCAATATTATAAACTGTTAAATAGAACTATCTTACATCTTAGGTCTTTTCTCTCCTCCAAAATTTCAGAATCTTTTCACACTCAACATGGCAGTGTTTTGAAGCTGTAAACAATTTGAAGCCCTTGTGAAGGAGTGAGGAGTCACCCTTCTTGGACTGATTTCATTTAGTCCCTCCAGCCCCTAACTGGCTCTCTCTTATTCCTTGTACAAATCATAAAGTTGAACTCACCATATGTTTACTTATCACAGAGGTATCTTTTTTTCTTAGGACTGCATTATTAGGGCCAGGAATGGTAGCCTAATGTCCTTAATCCTAGCACTTAGAAGAGGGAGAGGCAGGCAGATGTCTGTGAGTTCCAGGCCAGCCAGAGCTACTTAGGGAGACCCTGTCTCAAAAACCAAACCAAACCAACCAAACCAGACCAAAGGACTTTTTGAATGTATTAGCAGAAAGTAGGTTCTACAGAAAGAAACTATATTTATTGTCTAAAATTATAAATCATTTAGTGATTTTTATGGCGGGGGGAACCATAGTAGTGTTGCCTGTACTGTTTCTCAAACCTTGTTGGTAAAGCAGATTAGAGGGCCATTCTTTCTCCTTAGTACAAGTAAGTGCATGATTGTTTGCAAGACACTAGCCTTTGAAAGTTGAGACTTTATCTGGAATATCTTAGTAGAACTACCTTGGTAATAGACAAGTTTTGTTAAAATACAGAGCTTACCTAAGTTATAGAGGTTGGTGATATGATCAAATAAAATAATAAACTTTCATCAAAAGGGACTTCTTGGCAAGGCTGACATCTTTAGAAGTCACTGGTTTAAGAAGATACAGCAACGATTATTGTGAACTTACTGTATCTCATGTTGCTAAGATATTTTCTAGAATTTAATTTACTTTGTTCTCACTTCATTCTTTAAGAACTGTGTGAGTTCCCACTTTTTATTTACTTTTTAAGTGGGGAACTAATAGAGTTGACATGATTTTCTCAATGTTACAGGATAATGGGTTTTTAACTTACCTGATTCCATGCCCAAGATTTTAATGACTATTTAATTTACTCTCTAAGAATATCATATAAAAAGTGAAGTCAAATAACTTCATTTTTCTGGAGTGGTTTTTTTTGTTTTCTTTTTGAGACAGGTTCTATGTTTATATAGCACAGGCTGGCCTTTCATTCTTGAACTGTGCCTCAGCCTCCCAAGTACAATAGTGGGCATAGTGTTGTGTTAATGGCAATTCAGAGGTAAGATAGTCATCTCAAGTGAGTTCCTGCTCTATAACATTTAAAGTTAGGTCTCCTGTGAAATGTTAATATTTAAGTTTTGTAAATTTTAACAAAAATATTTTATTCCCTAATGCAAACAGTCCTGTGGTTCTCATTTTACAATTGTATTTAGTTTTCACTGTTTATTTGAACTAAATCTGTTTGTCATATATAATTCTCAGCTTAAGTTTAGATGCTTTTTTGGGGGGGGGCATTATTTTTGTTTCATGATTGCAGTTTCCATTTTAAAATTTTATAAGCTGTCTTAAATCAGAAGTCTCATAAAAGGGAAAACTATAGTCATGTATGAAAACTCTTACGAAAACCCACCAGTACTAGTGGCTTCTGGGGATCTTAGGAAGGTTTAGTGACTCTATTTAAAATCTTTTCTCTTCTTTTGATAAGCTGTCTATATTCTATACTTTGAATTATTTTTATCTGCTTAAATCTCAAGAAATATATTGATACTAAGGTTAAGTGAATTTTTTTTTTTTTTGGTTTTTCGAGACAGGGTTTCTCTGTGTAGCTTTGCGCCTGTCCTGGAACTCACTTGGTAGCCCAGGCTGGCCTCGAACTCACAGAGATCCGCCTGGCTCTGCCTCCCGAGTGCTGGGATTAAAGGCGTGCGCCACCACCGCCCGGCAGGTTAAGTGAATTTTAAATGGTCATTTATAGTACCCTGGTTACACCTAGGTATTCCATCATCGGTATTAGTGAATAAATAGTTCTTGAACTATCTGTTTCATGGTTTAAACTAAATCTTTTGGGAAAAATTTTTGTCTTTGTGCAGGTGATGATGAACAGAGTGACTGGTTCTATGAAAAGGAGTCTGGTGGAGCCTGTGGTATTGCTGGAGTTGTGTCCTGGTGGGAGAAGGAAGATCCTGCAGAACTAGACCGAAACGTGTCCGACCCCGTGTTCGAAAGTATCCTAAGTGGTTCTTTTCCCCTCATGTCACATCCTGGCAGACGAGGTCAGTAGTACTTCCTAAGTGCTGCCTCCAAATACTTACGGTTCTTACTGGACCGAAAGAGGATAGGCCCAAGTGGAAACAGAATACAAACACAGAATGCTGTAGAGAATGTGCTGGACCCTAATCCAAGTACTTTATTCGTCTGCTTTCACTCATCAGGAAGGTGTTAATAGGAGTGTGAATTGGGAGAAAGGGAGTTCTTAATGTCTGAGTACTAGCTAGTTAAGTGCTGACTGCATTAGAACCCTGCTGGGAATTACCTCAGTTCTTTTAAGTGTGTTTCACATTTTCCCCAATAATATTCTTGGTGCTCACTACTATCAGCAACTTAGTTTTAATTCTCTGTTGATAGGCTCTTCTTCTATGCTCCAGTGATCACAGTATCTTCTAAATTGGCTGTTTGATTTCCCAGGTTTCCAAGCTAGACTCAGTTGCCTCCATGGAATGCCTTCAAAGAATATTAAAAAATCTGGAGGGGCTCCACCTTCAATGGTAGGCATGCTTTCTTATTGAAATGTCATGTTTGGAAATGTTTCCATTTCTATGGAATAAAAAGTCACATCCTCACCCTTTATTTATATTCTAATGTTATACTTAAAAATAATCCATTTTTTTGTAGGCTACAAACTGGACCAGTGAGATTCCCCTATAAACCAAATCTTCTATTGCTAATAAATTAGTTACGTTTTGAACACCTGGGGAATGGCATTCGAGGGAACCTGGCTCCTGTCCTCTTCCCTGGAGGAATACACTGAAGTGCGAGCCTCTTTGATGCAGACCTGGGGCTGTTTTGCTGCAGGACTGGTGTTCTTTCTTTTAGCCAGAGGTGAATCTGATTGGGAGGCTTCCCTGAGATGTAGGTTGGCCCAGGGTGGATACAAACTACTGTATATTTTACATATTTTTCTCTCTTATGGTTTTTAACATTGGATCTCTTTATGTATTGCTTGCTTTGCCAAATGCTAACAAAAGGTAGAAAATTGAAAACTATATTTATATATATAAACCCAAGTATTCCTTAATATTTCTATGACTGGTTAAGATTCAGTTTTTATGTCTGATGTGTAAATAAAAAATGATGTATTGCCATTTATGGTTCATTTTTAAAGAAGTCTTCTCTACCAGCATTATTTAAAATACTTGTGTTTTACTCAGGGCACTTTCTTTAATAAGGGCTCATGTAAGTAGGTGAGGTTGATAATCTTTGCTCAAGTTTATCCTTTGTTCAGTTCACTTCCCGTTTGGATAATTGTTCTGTATTACAAGCCTGTTGTATTTCATACTGTAGTTCTCATTGTACTGTGAAAGTCATCCTATCCCTAAACAGCACAGTGATGACAAACTAGTCTCCTTTAGGGAACCACTTGCTGTCACATTTTCAGTAGTGTGTGTCTGATCCCTAAACTAGTCACAGCTGCCTCACTGGCACGGAGCTTGATGAAATCACGTGAACCTGGTGTTTTAACAATAATGCATGCCTTACTCTCACTGCCACGTCTAAAGCGAGATGCTTGCTCATCCTTGGATGGCAGCCCATGTGTGCCACTGAGTTTTAGAAATACTTACATAAGCTCATTTTCATCAAGCAGGAGGGAAATACAACATTTCCATCAGTGGCATATTTCTTATATTATACTAACTCAGTCCATTTGAGTTCTTTAAAATAGTTATTTTAAATTGATTAATTTTTTCTCAACTTCCTATAATTGACAAAGTCTTGGTGATTTAATGTTTTCATATTGTCTGTTTTGTCAGTTCAGCATTTAATGGCTAAATTAAATATGATGGAAACGAAACTTAAAGTTGATGTTACCTTTACCTAAGACTATTGTGGTCTGAAAGATTTAAAAATAAACTAAGTAGGAATGTATGACAACATCTCTGGAGACGTTAAAGGTGACATGGTGCAAGTTGACCCTCCTGACTGTCCCATATTTAAAGGTGCAGTGATGTGCTTAATAATTGTATTAAGGATTTTTATACCGTCTCAGAGCAAAAGTTCATGTTCTTTTCTGAATTACAGAAATGCTTTTGTTTTGTATGATGACTGTCCTTTAGATCTGAATAAGTCACTTTAATGCCTCAGCCTGTGAACTTTGTCTCACCAATCATGAATCTAGAGGGATACTATCTAATTCTTGGCTCAGTTTTACCTATTTTTATTTTTGGTCCACTGCTTGCTTGAGCATGGCTGGGATTTGTAGCCCATTTTCTAGGCTTATTGCAGTCTCACTGTGGTATTTTATAGAAGCTATTACAACTGATGGACTAGCTTCATGGTGTGGGTGATACATGGCTGCCCCATCCTCAACGCTGCCTTCCTGTCTAAATTGTGAAGAGGTGATTAGGCTCCACTTCATGGAGATTTCTATATATGTGTGTTTAACATGGAGCGAGTGCAGTAGGCCATGGAGTGTTTTTCAGGGCTACATTGTTGTATTCAAAATTGTACTGAAAGCAGAGGACGCCTTAAGGTTTTCTTTCTCTCAACCCTGAATTGTCCTTGTTTAGATTTTTACATTCTGTAATGTTTTTCCAAAAAATCTCTCTGACTTGATCAAGAAAGGTAAGATTTTCAGTTTGTGCTGATGTTTTTCTAATTCTCTTTATATTTTGCTCATAATATATGTAGCTTGCTACCTTAAAAAATTTAGCCTGCTAGGACAGTCATCATTAAGGGATGTCCATTATTTCTTGTTGCAAGAAATTAATTTCAATTAGCACAGATTCACACTGGAAAGCCAAAGTATATGTAAGAAAGGTTAGTTTTAGGAGCAAATTCCAGCATTTGTAGCTGTAACCCATTAAACAGAATGGCAGCAGGGGGTCTTCAGTGGGTAAGTGACACCTACATACATACAATGATAGAGTGCACATGAAGGAAAAGACCCTGGAACTAAGTGAAATATGGGATGTTCTCCGTTACTGTCCTTACTCCTCACAGACGTGTTCAGTGAAGTCACTGTACTTAGTTAGGAAACCATTGCTGCCACAGCAAAGTCAGGTTTAGGTTTGGGGTGGGTCTTGGCTCCTCATGTTCTTATCAGCTGCTGACTGAATAATGCTGCATGTGTTTGTTTAAAGGTATTTACTGTGTATTGTTGATTCATAAACATGGAACTTATGGCTAATAGCACCATCCCCGAAGCCTGAACAAAACTTCTCTACCATGTATTTTCTCCATAAGGCTCACTATGGCCTTCTCAAGCTTAGTAACAATAACAGACTTCATTTTAGCCTGACTTTGGGGCCATTGAAAGCAGTAAAATCACCAGAAAAAGCGCAAAAAGTCAATAAGCCAGTCCTCAGTAGATCACACAAAGGGCACTTGTTTACAGTGTCAGAGCTACAGGAAGGAGGCAGTTTTTGTCCCTTTCACCTGTGAGTTCCTGTTTGTGAGGAGCTCAGATTTTCACTGCTGTGCACATACCTGTGAGTATCTGCAAAAGTTCAGAGTGTTGGCTTTCAGGTGGCATAAATTTCAGCTAGTAGTTAATTTTTCAAATTTGGAATCTGCCGGGAGGAACAAGAAATGGCTGTGTATTTGTGGAAAGCAGAAAGGTATTGTAGAGCGTATTGGATATTTACATTATGATGCATAACAACAGAATTACAGTTATAAAATAGCAATGAAATAATTTTATGATTGGGGGTCACCACAACATGAAGAACTGTATTAAAGGGCTATAGCATTAGGAAGGTTGAGACCCACTGTTTTAGGGTATTATAGACCTTGAAGTCATATATTTGTGAATTCACTCTGGTTCTTAGTATTACTTAAACACACATTGTGAACCTCAGTTTCTTCTTTTGTAAAATACAGAAACTTTTTTTTTATAGACATGCTGACAGGCTTAAATGAGGATAAAGTACACATATAAGTTTAGGTCCATCTTCAGCACATAGTATATAATAAGTAATAATTGCTGTTGTTATTGAAGATAATAAACACAATAGCTGGTAATGCAACTTAATTTTATCATGAATCCAAGTGTAGAATTTAACCTTAAACTGTTTGATTCATGTTTTATATATAATTTGACATTACCTTAATAGATTGCTTTATTTTATAGGCTTTTTGGTTTCTTTTGTATCTTATTTATGTTTATCTGATTTCTGTCTTTAGTATAGTCTGACGAATTGTTTTGAATGAATTTTTGGTTAACAAGTTAAGTCTCAAATTGAACTACAAGCTGTAAAGCCCATTTCTTCATGTCCCCTCCCTCCCTCGCAAATCATTAAGCTTTCCTTTTAGACTGTTTATGAGGTTTGAATCCAGTCTTATTCCTTAAAAAAAAAAAATTGTGCCCATGTATATGTGAGATTACAAGTCCTGAGAATTTACTGTTGATAAGAATTACTCGGCTGGTCATGGTGGTACATACTAGTAATACCAACACTTGAGAGAAGTGGAGGCCGGAGAATCACGAGTTAAAGATCATCATTGGCAAAATAGCAAATTTGAAGTCAGCCTGTGCCATATGAGACCCTGTTTCAAAAAAGCAAAAGAGAATCACTATTGTTGTATGGTTAGAAACTCCAGTTTATTGGTACCCTGCTGGTCAGCCTTTTAATACCTAATTTAGGAGAATTGTTACTTCCATGGAATGTCCTAGGGTCGTCACCCAGAAGATAACTGCCTGAGACCCTGACATTTCTAGACTGTATTCATTAAGTACAATTCAGAATAATAACACAATAATGATGCCAGAATCAAATTTGAAAAGACTATTCTCACAACATGAATTCAAGGAACCTTACTAAAATAAAAGGTAGCTTTCCACCGGGCGGTGGTGGCGCACGCCTTTAATCCCAGCACTCGGGAGGCAGAGGCAGGCGGATCTCTGTGAGTTCGAGGCCAGCCTGGTCTACAGAGTGAGTTCCAGGAAAGGCACAAAGCTACACAGAGAAATCCTGTCTCGAAAATAAAATAAAATAAAATAAAATAAAAGGTAGCTTTCCATATAGCCAGGATGTCTGTTTTTTTGTTTTGTTTTGTTTTTTTGATAAGGTCTCACTATGTAGCTGGCATGGAACTCACTATGTAGGCCAGACAAGCTTTGAATTCACAGAGACCACCTGCCTCTTCCTAGTGCTGGGATTAAAGGTGTGCACCACTACACCTGGCTCAGGATATCTTACCCCCGAGTATTCCAGTTAATCTGTGTGTTTTGTGAGGGTGAGAGATTTCTAAATTCTCTTTTCATTTTGTTTTGAACTAGTGATTCATCAACAGGTATAATATCCTCTAAAGTTATTCAAATTATGATGACTGCTGAAAGATTGTGGGAAAAGATTCATCTTTAAACACAGTATTTGAAAATCATTATTATGTAAGACATTGTAGTAAGATAGAAGGCTTTGCTTAAAATGTTTACAGTTGCTTGAAGACCAGTTTTCATGTGATTACAAGAACATATAAGATATTAATGGTGTGCTTGTTTTGCCAAAAAAAAAAGAACCTAATGTAATTGATTTCCTTATGTGTCTAC